TTGATTGATTGATTGATTGATTGATTGATTGATTGATTGATTGATTGGTGGATGGTTTGATTGATGGATTGATGGATGGCTTGATTGATGGCTTGATTGATGGATGGATTGATTGATTGATTGGTTGATGGATGGATTGATTGATTGATTGGTTGATTGATTGATTGATTGATTGATTGATTGATTGATTGATGGATTGATTGATGGATTGATTGATTGGTGGATGGTTTGATGGATTGATTGATGGTTTGATGATTTGATTGAAGGTTTGATGGATTGATGGATGGCTTGATTGATGGCTTGATTGATGGATGGATTGATTGGTGGATGGATTGATTGGTGGATGGATTGATTGATTGGTGGATGGTTTGATGGTTTGATTGATGGTTTGATGGTTTGATTGATGATTTGATGGATTGATGGATCGATTGATGGATTGATTGATGGACTGATTGATGGATTGATTGATGGCTTGATTGATTGATTGATGGATGGATTGATGGATTGATTTATGGATGGATTGGTTTATGGTTGATGGCTGGATGGAGAAGAGCCTGACAACAAAAAGCTCTGCCACCTGTTCTACTTTTAGAAACACTAGGAACCACAAGTAAACCTGCAGTCTGAGAACAGTGTTCTGTTAGAAAAAATGGAACAATGAAAGCTTAAATGAAACATGGAGCCTGGTTGTTGAAAGCTTTGTATGTTAGAAGTAAAATGATAAAGACTTTTCTGAATTTGACAGGGAGCCAATGGAGAAGTCAGAACTGTACAAAAACTAAACACAAAAACTGACCAATGAAAAAAGTGATCTGTGGGTCTCTACTCTGTCATTGTTCGACAAAACTAATAGAAACCACACCTGGTGAATCACAGCAAATCACACGAGATTGTGTTCACACTTGTGATACAGTTCCCATTAAAGTGTACCTAATCAAACTCGGATTTTATTCCCCATTTATGTGACTGTTTATAAAGCCTGATATCGTGTCGGCTGCAGAGTGCGTGGGCTCAGTTGCTCAGAGTCCACGTTTGAGTGGCACTTAAATGTTTTTGCACAGTTGTGGGTGTCGACGCTGGACTGCCGGTGCTTTTAACATGAATCAGCAGCCAGGGAGAGTGAACGTGTGAGTGGGTGCAGTGGGCGTATTTTTACCCACAGTTGGCAAAAATAATTTCCATCATTGGGTTTGGATCCAGGAGCTGTGAGATCCATTGCTGAGATCTTACAGAGTCATCTGAAAGTGATTCTGCAGCTGATGATTTAAGATGTTTGATGCTGTCAGACTGTATCAAACAAAGCCTTTCAGGCAGGTTGAGTTGGACGTTTTTACCTGATCTCACTCTTCTTCTTCCAAAGTGTTGAGTTTATCACGCTCCATGCTCTAGGGACGTTTAGTCTGAAGTGATCACTCCATGAGTTTAGGTGTTAAAATGCCTCAGTTATATATGTAACAGAGGTAGACAGACAATCTGCATGTATGTATGTGTGTAAGTGTGTGTGTTGGTGTATAACTGAACTGTTGGGCCGTAGGCGTTACCAGATGGTTGCTACAGAAAACCCCAAAGGGACGAAGTGAATGATTTGGTCCGGCTGAGTCACTCTGTACATGCAGAAAAACAGGATGTTGTTTTAGTTTGAAACGCACAGCAGGACAGCAGCATCTTGTCAAACACATTCGCTTTGTCGCTCCTTTTTTTTGTTAACGCGTGAGGATTTTTCACCTAACTGCTCATTCACCTCAATCTTCCCGAGACATTAAAGTGTTTGTCCTCCCCTCCTTTTTGTGTGGAGGATGCATTTAAATGTGGCCGCACACTATTATATACATATATATATATATATATATATATATATATATATAT